TTGCCAAAATCGTAGTAGCAGCGTTATGAATGGTAGTAGCAGCAGCGTATAGTGTAATGTAAACACAGTGTAAACACACCCCCGTATTTAGGGGGGGATTATATGTACTGAATTGAACCGGCTATCCCCTCCAGGGGCTGTACTCTATTGACCCACCTATCCCCCCAGGGGCTGCACTCAGTTGAACCGGCTATCCTCCCCCAGGGGCTGCACTCAGTTGAACCCCCTATCCCACACAGCCCCAAAAGTGCACTCAGTTGAACCCCCCATCTAGGCCCCTTATACTACTTATAGTGTACCATTATATCTGATTGCCTATCTAAAACATCACTAGATTTCAAAGACCTTGTGAGCATTGGACTTATAAATTTTCAAGGAGAAACGGATGATATAATGAATTTGTGATAAGGAGAACAACAAACTAAAATGAAAATTAATGTTCTTTTTTTCTTCTTAAATTTAATTTGACTTTAACTCTAACACTAACCAAGTGAGTTTTATTTGTTCTGTTTACATGCAGACAGCATGTCGCAAAGCTGGCGCTGATGTGCTGGAATTTCACAATCCTTTGGAGGAGAAATGGATTGATTTACAATGTCGACTCAGAGGTATTTATACATATACATGCACTGATATATATATTCTCTTTTGATTCATAAGTTTCTGAACTGTAACAAACACAAACAAAACGGTATTTCTAAGTACAGGTAACTATTTTAGCAATCCCCCGACACAATTTTAAAAAAATGTCTTTCAGAAATTATAATTACGTAAAATTAATATAAGTATTTTTATTGAGATATGACTTCATCATCCAGTAATTTCTTTGCAGGTTATGCTGGAGTCTGGATTGGAATCAGTGATCTTCAACAAGAAGGACACTTCATTTCCGTATCAGAGGCCAGACCGCCACGATATCTGAAATGGGCCAGAGGAGAGCCCACAAATAGTGGCAGTAATGAACACTGCGCGTATTACTATTATACATGGAGAGGACTGGTCGACGTACGGTGTTCTAACAAATACAACGTTGTGTGCAAAAAATAAATTTGAAGATTTCCCAGAAATCATATTTAACATCATTAACATTTTCTATTAACTCTTTCTGTGGTGCAAAGTCTTATCACGAACTAATGAACCCGAATTAATACGCCTGTGAAATGTATATGAAAGATGATAGCCATAGCCCCACCACTCAAAAGTAATGGGAAGAGTTGAAGTTTTTTTCCGGACAAACAGATAAACAGACTGATTGACTGACGGACAGGACAAAAACTACCGGGAATAAACCCCGAATCTTCGATTACGGGTGCATTCAAAAGTGTGTGTTCTTAATTTTGACCAATCATTTGTAATGACTTCTTAATTGTTATCATATGAAACACTCTTTCTAACAACAACAATGCCCTCTTTCCCTTTCCTTTGCACTAAATTTCTCAGTCATAGGCGTCGGAACCGGGGGCTTTGGACCCCACCCCCCACTCCGGTAGGGGTGGGGTTATCCCCCCACCTTTTGGCAAAGATAGACATATTATTGAACATTGGAGCGTATGTTTAGCCCCCCCTTTCCCCTTTCAACAGAGAGGTCGCAGTTTAGATCAAAAAGAAGTGGTAGTGTTTGTAAAGAAAAAAATTGAAAGAAGTTCGACCCCCCCCCCCCGCCCCCTACACACATGAAATAGGATTTCTTGTTTGGAGAATGGACACATTATTCTTTTTTTTCTACACTTCCCCCACTTTCAATTTGCTTCCGACGCCAGTGTCTCTTAAATTATCCCCCACTACCACAATCTGATGATGTAATTTTTGTTACATAGTTACATTATTTCATATTTTACAGCTATCGTTTCAACAACTGTTTTTTTTTCTCACCGTCGAAAAGGCTTCTTTTAGTTTTACGTTTGGTTTGGTGTGATGGTTCACCGGTATGAGCGTCACACGCCCGGGTACATGCGTAATCTCAAGGTCTCGAAAATGTAATCAATATTTCTATTCCCATTGTAACGATGTTACGATAATGATTGAAAGTTCCAAATCAACGACTCATAAACCGACCAAAGCTAACTGAAAAGGTTAGTAAATGTTATAAATTTAACTACTCTGTTTTTGATTATAAAATATGTGTATTAATTTATGTTTCATTACATTTTTTTAATATACCGATATATTACAGAGAGTATACATCAAATGATGGATAATATATTTACAAGTCCCACAAAGACGCATTATAAATTGGTATCATTTGCTCAGAGCAAGGTAAGAGGCAGTTTTAAGTTTACTTAGATTCATATATAAACCGACCTGGAAGCAAGGGAATTTACATTTGTGTTCCTTCCATATGATTTTAAATTAATATTTTCTGTTTCTCCAAACTGAAGTGGAAGAAATATTATACTGTCTAGTATTTATAAAACATCATACATGTGTATTTATTGGTTCCTTGCGGGGACATTTCCACAAATTATTTTAGATTTCTTTCATATTAGCTCGTATCTTACTAAATTTTGTTTAAAATAATCTCAAGGTCACAATTTAAGTTCCTATGGTATCCTTGAATATGTAAACCGTAAAAATATTCTTAAAAGCTTTAATTTCAAAAAATCAACTCCGCATCACATATATATGGGAATCTTTTTATCAAAATAGATGCTGTCTCTTTAAAACTTATTTAAAAAAAATAAATAAAAGGCCTAAAAGGCATAAGTATCTATGACAAAGATCCCATGGATATATCTCCGGAAATCACCACTCCATGCATGAGTGTTTTCTCAAGTAGGTCACATGACTTCCGCTAAAAATATAAACAAACAAATATCAACGTTTTTCGTGCTTGTCGATAAATTGAATGTTTGGAGAATCTGACTCTGTCATGTGCAGAAAAAAGGTCTGAAATAAAAGTTTTATATTGGCTTATCGTTCCTTGCAACAATAGCATTTCGAGTAAACAAGGCCGGTACACGAAAATGCATGGGCTGCATCACAAGACATGTTGAAGACAGTTCAGGGTCGAGAAATGGGAATAGGCCTTTTTCACGTGACTGTGTTTCACGTTCATTTGTCTGTTACGTGGCTGTTTGATTGTTTGATTAATCCCCGTTAATTCCAGAAGCAATGCTGAATATTTTTCTCAGAATTGATTAATATGTAAGATTCTTTTAATTTGCACCCTTTGGACTTAATTCAGTTTGGCCACCGGATATGGATTACGTACGTATATATTGCAGCATATTATAAAGATTTCTAAAGATATTTAATATTCTCATGAAAAAATATGTCAAAAGAAGTATATTTTCATCTGTACTTGGACAAGATTTCACTTTGGAGTTTCAACACTTTCAGATGAAAGAAGAATTTCTTAATTTGTTGTGTACTATTTTTAATAGGTCTCATCACCAAATGTGCCAGTATCAGTGGATTCTTACAATAATTCACTAAATGGTTCCCTTGTTGGAGACACAAACTCTGAGTCAGGGGCAAACAAGATCCGGAGTGCATTTAAGGATGATGACAGTGGTCCATACAAGAGGCTGAGCTGCTCTCTGAAAGTTGACGGTTCAGACACTGGGTCCCATGAGGAAAATGAAGAGACAAGGGGATTCACCAAATCAGAGAATGATGTTGAAGCTCAGAAAATTCATCAAAATTATCTGGTTTGTATGACCTCGATCATGTGGTTTTTTGCTATGGACACTATATACATAGCTGCATGCAATTTTTATCAGTTAATTGGCAATGAAAATTGTAAATTTTTAGCTTACCTATGCAGAAAACTCAAATGAGCATTTCTGATCATCCATTTGTCTTTCCATCAATCTGTATAGGAATATGACTTAAGATATTTTCTTCCCAAAGTCAGAAAAGAAATTTAATGAAAGATTTCTGAGGTAATATAGATTCCAAATGGCTCAAACATGACCTTAGGGGGGATCCTTAATTATAAGAAATCAAAATCTATAAATAAAAATTTTCTCAAGCACAGTTAAGCCATGATTAATATACGGAAGTAGACTCAGGAAACAGAGATTTGTGTTATTAGTCAAATTATGACTCCAGGAATTAAGTCAGGTGAAGGCACATACGGAGGTTGTAATTTAAATATAAAGGGAGAAAAAAAAATGATAAATTTTCTTCTAAAGTACAGCAGTGCCATGATTAGTCATTTATATGAAAGCAACATCAGATAGTTTAGATTCATGTTAGGGCATCTAAAGGTTTATTCAAAGTCACTTTTGGTGGTATTTTCCTTAATTTATTCCTGACAATAAGTGAACTTATACCATGGAAAAGTAGCGGTAGCCTAAAAAACATTCTCTAATCTGTAATGTAAAAATGAAATGTGTGTTTCACCAAGAAATTCAGTGATAATTAATTTATACACTTCAGATTCATAGAATCTTTTAAAACTTCTTTTGTTAATTTTATCATCATGGTGACACTATATCATTTATCATGTTGTAGTTTGGGTTTAAAAAATGGAAGAGTCATGTGACAAGGAGACCCTTGTCAAATCGATCAGAGATTGTACAGACTTTATATGCTGATGTCAGTGAAGTCAAAGAACTAACAGGTACAGTCAAATGTAACCATCTCAAACTAACAGGTACAGTCAAATGTAACCATCTCAAACTAACAGGTACAGTCAAATGTAACCATCTCAAACTAACAGGTACATTCAAATCTAACTACCTCAAACTAACAGGTGCAGTTAAATGTAACCATCTCAAACTAACAGGTACAGTCAAATCTAACTACCTCAAACTAACAGGTGCAGTTAAATGTAACCATCTCAAACTAACAGGTACAGTCAAATGTAACCATCTAAAACTAACAGGTACAGTCAAATGTAATTATCTCAAACTAACAGGTGCAGTTAAATGTAACCATCTCAAACTAACAGGTACAGTCAAATGTAATTATCTCAAACTAACAGGTACAGTCAAATGTAACCATCTCAAACTAACAGGTACAGTCAAATGTAACCATCTCAAACTAACAGGTGCAGTTAAATGTAACCATCTCAAACTAACAGGTACAGTCAAATGTATCCATCTCAAACTAACAGGTACAGTCAAATGTAACCATCTCAAACTAACAGGTGCAGTTAAATGTAACCATCTAAAACTAACAGGTACAGTCAAATGTAACCATCTCAAACTAACAGGTGGAGTCAAATGTAACCATCTCAAACTAACAGGTACAGTGAAATGTAACCATCTCGAACTAACAGGTACAGTTAAATGTAACTATCTCTATGTTGATGGGGCTGAGTAAAATTTTTTTATGATATCTGAAGATTCAATAATTTGAAGTTAAATATGAAAATATATGTGAGTGGAACTTTTGATGCTCTTACAAATACAAGTATCCCTATTTTTTTCAGTGTCCACAGTTGGATTTTGGAACATCCTTTATGCGGTTTTGTTTGGTTGGTGGATTGCGCTGGTCTATTGTTTCGTGGGAGGTTTAATGTATATTACAGTCATTGGTAAAGAATATGGTAAGAATTCAAGGGAGATAAATCCTGTTTTCTTTTTAATAATCATTTAACATTTTTAAAGTCTTATGTAGGCACTGAAACAATATCAATGTATTTTATATAAAAAAAAACATTGCAGTTAAGGGATTACTATGAATTTTTCTTTCAGCTCACTTCTGCTTTAGAATGGCAGATTATTTTTTCTGGCCATTTGGTAAATTTGTCTATGTGGTGAGTTGGACTTTATTTATGTGAGATATATATCAGCTTTGTTTGTATTTAAAGAAGACCTATATATTTAATGATTTTTTAAAAACTTTCTCTTCAGGTAAAAGATGACAGTTCCCCATCATCTTCTAAAGTCAGCAGCACTAATGCCCAGGATACTGAAAACACCCCTCTATTGAAGGACTCTATGAATGCATTAACTGACAATGATATATATCCCTGTGAGGGTTTCTGGGTAAGACCATGTAAAAATATTACAAACAGCGGTACAGAAAAAAAAAACTTTTCCAACATTTTAAACAAATATATAGAGATGTGTTTGAACATATGCAAAGAGAACATATGACTCCTGACTGACAGCTGGACAAAGAGATCCAGAAACATCTTAAAATGAAAAATTCTGTACCATTTTTGCAAAACACATTGAAACTAGACAATATTCCACTGGCATATTTTAAACAATGACATAAAACAGCTTGTAGATACTAAGTAGTATCGGTAAACATACATGTGTGGAAGCAAGTACATGCACATTTTTAAATGTATTTTACAATATATGTTTTTTTACAGAGTCATGGTCAGTCATATGTTTGGCTGATTCTTGGACTGCCATTAATTGTCCTTACACATGTGGTAGTTATGTGTGTTACTTGGTTATTGGTCATCAGTATTGGAATGGCTAAGGTAAATCTTATACTTATCTTTTATATGTACATACATGTACAACATTATACAGGATATCACAGTCAGATATCAAAGATCTAAATATTCTTTAAATGATGTGCTAAAGCTGCAGATTTTATCACACTATACAAAGAAAGAAAAAATAGGTTGACTGAGTAAAATGTTTAATTAGTGATTTTTTGGGTCATGTTTCAGATCCATTGGAGAACTGTGAGACAGATTCTGTACCTCCCTCCGGGTGAGGTGAGGACTGGAGACTCATTTGTCATGGACCTGGTGAGTACTGTTATGTTTGGTTCCAGTGGGAATTTGTAAAAGGAGGGAAAGAATTTTTAAATGTACATGTATTAAATATTTGTAAAAGATATTAAAACTTCAATCACGAGATGTCTGAATTGGAGAAATAGAAAGCAAAAAGAAGCTCACCAGAGTAGTCGGTTAATGTTCAAAAATATATGCAGCCAGAAAATCGAACACTCCCAAGGAAACATACTTAAACTCATACACATAAGCTATGTAAGAACTCTCTTTGTCAATGAGAAAAATAGTAAAAAAAAAATATGTCTTTTTATTTTGTCTTGATTTTATAGGACACAAGAAAAAAGAAGAAGAAGGGAGAGATTCTAATGTATACCCACAATGCAGTGAACCTGTATTATTATAAATATACTGTTGATGGAATGAATATCATCTTTGTCAGTATCCTTTACAGAAGCGACTTGAAATGTGTGATATTGACCATTTAAAAAGTTAATTTAAAGCTTCCATAGAGCTATTTAACTCTTTACACTTATTTAAAATTAATAAGGACAGTACACTTAAATACTTCACAAGCAAAACAAGTTTAATTTTCCTTAATTAATGCTAGATCTTTTATTTTTTGTCATCCTCTCTCTGGTATTGGGATATTCAGATCATGAAAATAAGTATTATTCTGGTGTGACGGTGAGTTGTATTTTCTGAGATTATGAATTTAATATGTTTTAGATTTAAGCACTTGATTTTTATTTCAAGTATCATGTATTTCTCATTTCAGAAAGTGGTTCTAGGCATTATGGCAATTGTACCACTGACTTACTACATTGGAATGGCTATAATATGGTATAAAGCCTGATTTCTCTCTAAAAGTTTTTTTGTAATCAATACTTGTATATGCATCAAGTAAAGTTAACATGATAAATGAATGTTGCTCTATATTTAATTTTCTTGAATATTCTTTTCAGTATATCTGCTCAGAGTAGTTATGCGGTTGGTGCGGTGCTGAACGCCACATGTGGTACCGTGGTGGAAATGATATTATCTGTGGTGGTGCTTAACAAGGGAAACAAGTCAGGCAGTGCATGTTATGTAGAGCTGGTCAAGTCAAACTTGGCAGGTAAGGGAAAATGTCATGTGTCATGGTGATAAATTTTGATACATAAAGCTCATACTTACTACAAAGTATGTTAATGATCGGGAGGGGGGGGGGGAGGTGTCTGGAATTTGACCCAAGGTCATTCAGGCAAGGCCACTTACCGGCAGAACAATATTCTATATGGAGAAACATTTGAAGTTCTTACTTCATAGATTGCTTATGACCTGAAGATGTGATTTGACCTTAAACCAATATCATTTATTCCGTTAAATTCAAGGTCATGTACTTAAAAAAGTTTAATTCCTATCCTGATCATACATCTTGTAATGGAGAACATAAGAGACTTAAAACTTATCACAATATTACATGTAATATGAGGTAAGAACTGATCTTAACCAAGGTCATTCTTGCAAGTTCAAGGTCACTTGCAAAAGAAAAAAACTGAATACATGTACCAAGTTAATTCATGTTACACTAAAACATTATATTCACCAAAGGTTATTTTAAGCCTTTTAACTGGATAACCTTTCATTAAGGGATAATAAACATAAAATGATATTTTAATGAAAATTATCTCCTTTCCTAGGGAGTCATGAACCTCATAGTTCATGATATTTACTTATTTATGATGTTTTCTTTTTCTTCAGGAACAATAATTGGCAGCATTCTTCTTATACCAGTGAGTATATTTTAATTACTTGCTAAAACTTTTGTTCTCTAATTCCAAAATTAGTGTAGATTGCACACCTTATTACCAACAGAATTTGCTATCAGAATCCATATCTCATGGAGAAAATGGTTAACACTGTCTCTTTCCCCCCTAATCACAGGGTCTGTGTATGATTGTGGGAGGGTTGAAGTTTCACTCCCAGAGATTTAACCACGCCTCAGCTGGGATTTCCTCCCTCCTGCTTTTTGTGGCTGTGTCAGGTAAATGCTTTACAGCTTACGTACATTTATATCCCATTCTTCACAATCCTCTTCCTTCTGTTTTGCTGATTTATGTCGCTTCTTTCCTTTTTTGTCATTTGATTTTTCAAATTATTGATTTACCCTTTTACCATTTTGCCATAGCACAATAATTCACTTGAATGTGTATTTCTAGAAGTTGGAGTTGGAGAGTTGCAGAAATTTTTTCAAAGAATTGCCATCATATTTAAATGCTATAAACTTTTATTAATAGTAATAAATAATGTCATGATTTGATTTCCTCTGTCTTTGTGAGTATACTGTCTATGTTGTTCTCCTTTACAGGTGTGTTTGCTCCCACTCTGTTTGCCCGAATGTTTGGTGATCTGGAATGTCAGAAGTGTGAGAACTTCCTGTACAACTCCACAATACCAGGGAACTACAGCCAGAGTTACTACATGCACTGTACACAGTGTCATAGTGATCTGGTGAGAAAGCAAAATAGTGTTATTAAAGTTCATTTTGGGCAAGTTTTTCAGTCATTATCCCTAACCAATTCAGAAAGCTCAAAACAGCTAGAAGAAAAAATTCTATGAAAGCCTCTTCTTAAATTAAAGGATTTTTAAAAATGTGAATTTTTGTTCCACAAATAGGCAGAAAAAATAAAAATCTTTTTCTTGTGTTTCACAAAAGCACAGTGATATACTATCACATGTATCTTTGGAATCTTATTGCAATAGATATAGTGTATTCTGTGTCTTTTTTGTCTCTAAAGTTAAGGCTGCAGGTGTTCATCTTCTTTTACAGAGTGGCCTAGATGGGGATATGTCTCTTTTCAATGACCACATTAGACCTCTAGTCTATGCCAGTGCTATACTGCTACCTATTGCCTACATAGTGGGTATGATCTTCTCCCTGAAGACACATGCTGCTCAGATCAATGCTACTTATATGAGGAGTCTAGAGGAAGCAAATCATGAAGGTGAGAGAGAGAGATAAAGAGAAGGAGTGAGAGGAAGGGGAGAGAGGGCAAAAGAGAGGGAGAAGGAGAGAAAGAGGGAGAGAGAGAAAAAGAGGGAGAGAGGGAAATTAAAGATGAAGAGGGGAGAGAGAGGGGGGAGCACACAACATGCAACTTTCTTATGAGCATACATTCAATTGTTTCAAGCTGAATTTAAAACACACAGAATAGTTGAATGAACATATCAGATTTTTTTAATTGATTCTTAAAAATATTTCTTGCTACATTTCTAGACATTTAAAGGTTACTTTCTTTAATTTAAATGTAATATTAGAAAAAAATCCCTTTAACAGGTCATGAACATAGTGTTCCCATGTGGTCAAGGTTAAAGAGTCTGACCATTTTGCTGTGTTCAGCCACACTGATTGCATTTTGTGCAGAGTTAGTCTCAGACAACATCAAGGCTTTCTTCAAGTCTTCCGGTATATCAGAGGTAGGTCTTGATCCCAGAAATAAAAACTATGGTCATTTCTATTTCTATTTAAACATTGTTTACTTTACATTTTATTGTGAATTATTTGAATAAACTTCATTTTTTTTCCTTTCTTTTCAGTATTTTGTTGGAATTTTAGTCATTGCCATGGTAACAGAGCTTCCAGAGATTATAAATGGTGTACAGTTCTCATTTGAAAATAATGTCAATCTAGGGTAAATATTCTTGTATTATTTGTTTTAGATATGTGTAATAAAGATCAAATGTTTAAAAATATAGTGAAATAAATTTGTTTGCATCTCACTATACATCTCATGGACGTAAATCCGAAATTCATTGTGTTGTTTTCAGAATAGAGATTGGGACCAACACAGCCATTCAAGTTTGTATGATACAGGTTCCAATATTGGTCCTTATTGATCTGATTTATGTAAGTGTTAATAAAAGGGAAATTAAATTCTGCCAGTCACACAAATCCTCAAAATATTTCTTTCTGAGTAATATATTGTTTGTTGAAAGAAAAAATGTAAAAAATTCTTTGATCTATGTAAGTGTTGAAAAAAAAAAACATTTGTATGATATGAATTCCCAAAATATGTTTTTTAAACTTTCTGAAGAATATTTTGACAGAGAGAATTTTAGATTGTAATTTTTCTTTGATTTGCAGCCCTTTAACCTGGTCATGGTATTCAATGATGTACATTTGTATGCGGTGATTTTTTCTGTGGTTGTCATTAATTATACATTCCAAGATGGTAAAAGTGATTACTTTCAAGGTAAGAATTGTGTTTCTGAAAATTTTTGTTTGTTTGTTTTTTTGTGTGTGGGAAGGAGGGTAGAGTCCATTCGTATATTGTCCTGTGAGAACAAGAGACAAGAGATTATAACAGTTTTGGGCCTCAATTTACCTCCCAAATTCTGGCTTATAGGCAAGCATACTGTATGTGTGTGTGGGGGTGGGGGTGGGTGGGGGGGTATGGCTTTGTATGATTGTATGAATATTATCATTAAATAATATTTTGGTTGTGTTGGGGATATTCATGAATCTCATTTTAGTAACAAAGTTTTCAAACTTGAATTTGTTTATATATATTTACAAATCTTTTTCTTTTTCTTTTCAGGTTCGGCATTGGTTATCATATATATTGTCATTCTTTGTATGTATTACTTCATGCCTATACCTGAACAAGTCAAATGTGCCTGATGAACACTGGATGATTTATATTAAAAAAATATTTCTTTCAACATGCACCAAATTTCTACAATGTCATTTATTTTTAATGTTAAACTTTTATCACATTAAGTAACATATTGAAAAAAAATTGTGTCATTATGATCTTCAAAACAAGCATTTTTCTTTTATAAATTCATGTTTTTCTTTTCACAATTAAACTACATGTAGATTCTTAAGTTATATGACACTGAATTTTCTTATGATGCTTTATGACTACTTATAAGATCTACTTAAACATATTATAAAATTTTGATATTTTTTTAATCTTATAATGTTTCAAAGAGATACACACAGTAAATCTTGATATTACGGTAATTGCACATTTTTTTTTTTTACCTTTTACAGTGTCATTCATTTTTCTGCTTTATATAATAATCTTTTTGTGATATTTATATACTCAATGAAAGCATTCCAATACTTTCTATTGCAGACCAAACCTTTATGTTGATGTTTGGTCTTTGAATAATAATTAAGTTATCTTTATTAAACAGTACTTTTAAAAATAAAAAATTGGACACCTGATATGCTATAATGATAAATATCCAGGGCATTAATAGTATTAGTCTTCACTTAAACAAATGTTTTATTCAGGGTCAGCATATCTAGTCTGATTTTTATGTTAATTACGAGTAAATAGAGTAAAGTTTGATTAGGACATTATTTTTCATCCTTACAATCCTTACAATTCTCTTACAATGTTTTTGAATTAATTGTTATGGCATAATAGAATTATTGCACTGGTATTTTACAATGAAAATAATGCAGGTCTGTGCTGTTTCTAACACATGCAGAAAATATATATATCAAAACCTTTTTTTCGCATAATGTTTTAGCAAAACACAGTAATATATTGACGTCATTTAACATTTTATAGGATTTTAAATTTATGAAGTCTTCATTTTCATACAATGTTCTTTCTTTTTTTAATAGATTTTCTTGTTGAATTACTGTTATACTTCTAAGATCTGTTGTTTCTGTTACAATTTGTTATCATAATTCACTGGTTACATTTTCTCATATTTGTAACTATTATAGAATAAGAGAGTTTTTTCAGTTCTTGTTTATAGTCACATATATAAATGAATATGTGCAATATTTTAATTTTGGTTGTAGCATTTTTCTGTTTACATAAATAATAAATGCATATAAATTTGCCTCAACATGAAAAAAAAATTGACCAAAAAATAAAACCAAACATTAATCTGAACTCTTCTTTAAAGAAATGTATGGTATCTTGATGAGAAAATATTAAGATTGTCCTTAAGGAGGAACAGGACCTTTGCCTGAAAAAAAAATCCTGTCAATGAATTTTTTTCGTATTTTTTTTTTATTACTAATTTAATATATACTTAACATTTTTAAAACGGTCCTGTCATGGGATTTCTTGACTTATTTAAAAGATATCGTCCCACAAATACCACCCTATTTAGAGTTTTTATGGAGTTTAGATACTTCGTGTTTACGGGCCCATAACAGAGTCCATAATGCGATTTTTTACGCTCAAACGATAAATATGATAGATAACACTATATACTCAAATATTTCAGAATATTCATAGTGCTTAAATTATCGGAAAGCAATTGTTTTTGTTTTATGTAGTATTTGGGTGGGATAATTTTTGCATTTTTCAAGGCAGCTTCAACGACAAAAACCTCATTTGGAAAAATTTCTGTCAATAAATATTTCTAAATTTACGATTTAATGTCAGTCCTTCATCGTAATTATTTACTGCATAAATATCACAGGGTGAAGCTTACCTCAATATCGCACAGGACATCGTTGAATTAGACGTAAGCATGATAAAAACGCTTCACATTTGTATTTTCCGAGTGCGGGAAATTAATTGTTACGTCACACGAAAACATAAACATTCAAAATTATCTAAATAGAGAGAATATCTGTTACTAAACACGAAAAAATATTAATTAAACAAAATCTGCTTCAGAATTTATCACGATACATTGACTGTGACCTGTTTATTATGAAATAAAACTGATCATGACGGGTGTGTGTACTTGATCTCGCTGCACCGAGAATTCAAACACGTACTACGTCTATGACGTCACTGACGTCAGACTGCAGGGTAAAGAGAAACAAATGTGTATTGGACAACTTCACAATGTCTAAATGATGGGAAGATCTTTAAAAATTTTATTGATAATAATTTCTAAAACTAAATGTTTTAAAAACAATTTTAGAATTTAGAATAAAATTACACAATAACTGTTGATTCTAACAACGTTTAACTTGTATATCATAACAGATTATGACGTTATATGTCTTTTTAGTCATGTGACATGTGTCCTGTCAAATCAACCATATTGTCATTAATGTACATGTGTATTTGTGAAATACTGATGCCCCATAAGGCCTGCTTTTTGTAAAGAATAAAGTTTCTCAAATGCAAATCAAACTCCAAGGTTAATAAAAAAACAACAAATATGTTGTTACCCAAAGAAAGGACTTTTGACAGTAAATATGCTCATGAAAATTGAAAGCCCAGATAAGCACCAACAATTCAAATGCTATTGCCAAGGTTCAAGTTTTATTTTACAGTGGGTCAAACTGCTAGGTCAAGGTCAAAAGGTCAAAATTGTTGGTATCTGAAAGAAGGTCTTATTGTCAAAAGAAGTACATCTATGAAATAAGATAGTCCTATTACTTCAAGTAAATGTTCATAATTGATGGCCAAAGTAAAAGTTTTTTTTAAAAAGTGGGTCAAACTCTTAAGGTCAAGGTCAAAAAATATTTATGCAAGTAGAAAAGTTTTATCACATGAATGCATTTATGAAATATGAAAGCCCTAGTTTGAACTGTTTCAAAGTTATGTCCAAGGCTAAAGTTTGAAACATATTTGCAAAAGTGGGTCAAACTTCAAGATTAAGAGGTCAAATGTGTTGGTACTCAAAGGGAGGTCTTGTCAAAAGAAATACACTTGTGGAATATGAAAGCCAAGCTCCAGCCAATCAAAAAATATGAGCAAGCTTCATGCTTCTGTGGAAAAACAGACAGACACACAGACGGACAGGACATACATTATGTACTCTCGAATCTTCCATTACGGGGGCATAAAAAACATCAAACAAATTGTTGATTAATTAGAGACTTGAAAGAAAGTTCTTAATTTTCGGTTTCCGAACGTAATCTTTTAATTATACAGGTGTTATGCGTACATGCATTTAGCATGTCATATATTAACAAAACGGTGATCACGAGTCACTGAAAGTATGACCAAAAAGTTCAAGAACAAGTGTGACGAAAATTAAAGTCTGAATCCCAGGCATGTTTAGTTTACACCTGTTTTATGTTTGTTTGATGGGATGTCAGATACATTCGATAATCTTCCAGGTAGTGCGCAGGTAGTACTCTATATATTACTTTTCTATGTGCAATAAAAAATTTTAAAGGTGTAGAGCAAACAATAAATTAAGCTTAAAGCACATAAAAGTTGTAAAACCTACTCGATCACTGTGCACTTTTATACGCAGATGACTAATGGTAATTCATTATCAAACAACAAATAACGAAAACAGGTAAACCTTTGACTAAGTAACGGGCTTCAATGCTCGTCCTACGGGAAAAATGCATGACATCAAATGACACAAACTGCCAAGAAAGAGTAAGACTAAACAAGAAGGAAAAAATGAAAACTTAAACTTCTTGATGAAATATGACGTAGCGCACGGTGTTGATACACATCGACGTTACGTCAAAATAACGTTACGTTATTAAAAGTCATATATAACTTTTTTTTTTTAACGTTTTGAGCCTTATTCTACTGGTATTTTAGACCTTAAAATGAATTTTATTTTTCAAAAATATAAAAATAAAATAACAGGGCAGAAAATTGTCAATGTTTGAACCTTCTAATTGAAATATTTAGACGTTTAGTAAATCTTAATGAATAATAAAATGAATTTACTGATATGTCAGAGGCACTCAATGAATATCCTTTATTCCTCTTTCTATTTTTTTCTCACTTAGTACTGTCTGTCTTATAAAGAGATGACACATATATAAGTAGCTTTCCCTTTCAACCATTTCTCCTTCATTTTTTTTTTCAGTTAGGTCATTACAATTTTTTTGTATTTCTACATAGTGTCCACATGCGCCTTGGTTGTATAGAGAAAAAATGAGAGTAATTTCATACCTCCTACGTTTCAATGGAACTGGTTGTCATTTTTAATGAAAAAAATTAAAAAATATATGCTGAGTACACAAATATATTTTTCGATTACAATTTTCGTGCTGATGTTTCTTTGTGATGTAAATCGGTTCTTTTATGATAGGTAATCGCTATCTAATCTAATCTGCCTTAAATTTGATTGGACTTTTCAGTATTACCAATACCGTGCGCAACGTAAATTATAGGCACGTAGTATTTTGAGGGGGCGTCACTCTTTTCCTTATATAACCCTTTTAGTTTACTAATGAAAATAATGATTGAAAGCCTACCCCCCCCCCCCCCCCCTCCCCCCGCCGATACTAAATTTAAGTGCCTTAAATCACGATTTTTTTTACACCTCAAAAAAAAAAAAAAACAAACAAACAAACAAACAAACAAAAACCACGTATATATATTGAATGTCAATGATCAGCAGATCAATTCTCTCTATGTCCTTGACAGTATAATAAAACAGAATAGAGGAATAATTCAAACGCAGAATGCCACGTATAGACATCACGTTGAACAATAAACAAATTATTGTCATGTTAGATATGTCAGTTTACGGAGGCAAGTAGCAGATAAACAAGGATGATACTATACATTCAACGAGTAGGATGTCAATTCCATTTTTTTTAAGGTCAGACGAGACATTCCTCAAAATCTGTTTTGTATATCTTCGTGATGTATGAAAAATATTCAAAATTTTAATAACATTCTGATTTCTAAACCAGTTTCTAAACGTTTTTAAAACATCCAAATACTTAAACATTTGAAATTGAAAAATTATTTTTCTTCCCCAAAGGATTATATAAGAAAAACTACCCCTGGTATTTTGCAGAAATGCCTGGTAAGGTACCTCAATTTTTTGGGAGTAAACATGTTTAAGTAGCAATACTTCAATGACAAACTCTTAGAAAAAATTATCTATTATTAAGGAACGTCTCGTCTGTCCTTAAATGTATGCTTTCCTTATGTGAGCTTCCATGCACATGTCTGCCTCAAAATAAATTCGACATTAATAGCGCTATAACTGGGGGCATATCTGTTAAATATAAAAATATATATGATATTGACTCTTAAATTATTTAAATCCATTACATGAATCTTGCCTAAAGTGCAAAGTTTAAAACCTGTTATCATTTCAAAACTTTGTACTCTCTCTCTCTCTTCCTGAGAATTAAGCATTTGACCGGATATACTGCTCAAATCCGAACTGTATAGAATGATCAGACTGCATCAATAATTTCGTTTTTGTTTCTTTGTTATAAATTTGAAAAAATATTTCTGTTGGGAAGAGAATAAGTGACATACAGATAAGATACAATATCTACTAAAATGTTTAAATGATTCTATTGCATTATTAATTAATCGTGTTAATCGCGCTCGTTTAGAAACTCTTAAATGAATAGATCTAAATATCCCAATAAATTTCAGAAAAGGAGATGAGATAATTTACTACACCTTGAGTTTATCTCGGCCTTGACGAAAGATTTGGCCTCATTATTGGTAATGTATAAAGCAAAATTAACTGACCTATGGTTTGGATTGCTTTAAATTGGTTAAAGAATAAAATTAAGATTTTACATGAAATGATTATAATTGCAATCGAAATAAACTTTAGCCTAACTTTGCTTTGTACAATGGAAACAATTTAAAAAAAAAAATAATTTTAAGGAGCAAATATAAATAAAATATTCTTTTTTTTTTAATTCTTAGCTAAGGAATTTAGTTGCTCCCAGTTAGTTGTTCGCCGTGTCGTACTTCTGTCTCAATTTTTCGTTTGACGAAAAAGTCATTAATTATAAAACTCATTAAACCTATCAACGATTCATTCTTTTTTGTAAATACTTTACCTTCAAATATAGGGTCCTCTGTCTTTAGCGATTTTGTATCGGTAAAAACACACATGTTTAATCACCTTTACGCTAAAGAGCAACTTTCGATCAAATGTAAATAAGTTTACTATATTTGTGGTATTTTAGATTTACATGAATAACTCGCTTTATACTTTTTTTGTTCAATTAGTGCAGACAGACCGGTTTTTATACATATTTATACATCCCACTTATTTGTATAACCTGCTTTATGTTAATGAAACACAATATCTAAAAATTGTGGAAAATTAATCATGTGTAATTCTTATCAGGTGAAGCATAAGGTTACCATGCATGTCAGAAAGATGGAAAACAAAGAAACAGCTTTCCGTTTTAACAGAATGTTTGTTTTTCCTAACTTGAGTCACTGATGCATCTCAGGCAAAGTACGCGCATAACGCGAACACTGTATCATTTGAGTGCGCATACATCGTAAAATATTCGGCGATAACATAAGTTTTTCAAAGCGGGTTATTAAGAGTGTGTGCCTATACGTCTTAAATGTATCGATTCAGTGTGGTTATTTGCCTCAGGTTTTGAAACGTGAAGGATAAAATTAAAGGTGTTTCGCCCATAAATCGTTTAACCTCTCGGATTTGATAATAATGACTTCCATGAGAGAAGAATCTAAGGGTGGAAGATTCAACAAGAAGAGGAAACAGCAAAGAATAAAACGATACAGATCCGACGGCTTTGTTGTGGGGAGGGAATTTTCAGACGATGAACTTGATGCACCGGAAGGGTCTTCGGATGCCATCCACTTTCTGGACTGGCTCCGGAACCCTTCCCTCCAGAATCTGGTCAAACTCAGAAAAAGTATCAAACACAATGACAGTGATTGGATGACGGAATTCCTGGAGTTTGACGGACTGGGATTACTGTTTCAATGTCTGAAGAATCTCAGCTCCAGAGAGACAGTGCATTTGTCTGAGATGGTTCTGAGATTAGAGTGCATTATGTGTATCAGGGAGGTGGCCAACTCACAAACCGGACTGGACTGTCTACTGAAGACCAAAGGTCGCAAGGACAATATCTTCGGAAGAAGGTTTGCCACAGGTGATATGTATAAACCTTTTTTTTTTAAGTGTAATTGCTAATTTCTTTTTAAAATCTCAGGAATCTGAACAATTTTTAGCTGACTGTTAACAATTCTAGAAACAGCGAGCAGGAACATTGCCCTGCAACAACTATTCCAATTTAGTGGGGCGATTCTTATTACCCGTTCTAATTGTTATTCACGAGGCCAGTTTTAATGATAAGACTTTGTCCACATTATTTAAGTTTAATCTAATAAATAATTCATTTCTTCCCTTGACCCATAAATTGTGAACAGAATTAGACATAACATTACGAACTTGTATTCATTAAGTCTCTCTACGTACACTCTTTCAAATACTAGTACTCAAGGAATACAGTGATGCAAACAGTTATACATTGTCTGGGGTTATTAAGTCATTTTTCTTTCATGCATCATAACTTCCAAAGAGATTAGATCACAAAACACTGTCAAAGAATGCACTCATCTGATACAAAAATATGTATAACGCATAACACTCACAACGCACATTTCTGATTTTTCGCTGCACAGTTAACTTGCATTAAATCAAAGAACACCGCCGGTAAGGATAATATAGTGTTCGACTGATTAACGTTACTGCTATCAAAATCTACACAAGACGGCAAGATTGATATGAATGTATGAATTAGACAAGAAAATTCTATATTTATCTGGCTTATCTAGAGAGCTGATAGATTTTTGTAGGTGCAGCCAAAACATGCAAGATTTTTTTTAAGGGGAAAGGATTTTGATAAATATTTCATGTCTTATTTTATGTTTCACTCTCATCTCATAAATATATCAAATCATGAAGAGATGTGCACAACATATCATAAATCGCCCTAATATTCAACTTATTTTCTTAAGGTCAGACGAGACATTCCTCAAAATCTGTTTTGTATATCTTCGTGATGTATGAAAAATATTCAAAATTTTAATAACATTCTGATTTCTAAACCAGTTTCTAAACGTTTTTAAAACATCCAAATACTTAAACATTTGAAATTGAAAAATTATTTTTCTTCCCCAAAGGATTATATAAGAAAAACTACCCCTGGTATTTTGCAGAAATGCCTGGTAAGGTACCTCAATTTTTTGGGAGTAAACATGTTTAAGTAGCAATACTTCAATGACAAACTCTTAGAAAAAATTATCTATTATTAAGGAACGTCTCGTCTGTCCTTAATTGCACTAAAAAAAGAAAAAGATATAATCTTGTTAGACGTGTTACATTCAGTTGCAAGTTGCGTAATTTCTAAAAGTGCAGGTCGGAAAAAAAGCTTTATTAGATGTAACTGGTATATCTTTTCATTAGCAATTACAAGCTTTAAACATGAGTTATATACCAGGAACTTAAATACATGTATTTAAATAGACATTTAATAAAGAATGATGGTTTTTAAGTATCATATTTTATACCATCTTTTAAAAAACAATGTTTAAAGAAATAGGAAGGATTCTTTTCATGTTTATTTGATAATTGTTGTATACATTGCCATTCATATAAACAGACCGTCCAATCCATGCATGTAATTTTTGGTTTCTAGTAATGTTCTTTAGCCAAAATTATAAAATTATAAAACCTCAATTTAACCATTCAGACGGCAATTATATTTTTATTTTGTTAAACTGACAAACACTGGATCTCAATTTCCTGAATTTTACATCATGAAATTCTACCCCATCTACCTCGTGTTCTTACTGTGTGGCCCAAAATAACCCAGTATTTACCTTTGTCACTTGACAAAGATACATCTGGGTACAGTGCAGTGAGCTTAGAAAGTTTGCCAGTTGTCGAAAATAACATCAAAACAAAACGAATTGAAAGAAAAACTTCCTGCTTGTTATCTCAGAAATTCCTTCTGCAACTGAAATTGACAGCTTCAAATTATGTTTCGTACTTTTCCCTTTACTACATGGAGAAATTTGATGGCGAAAATTCAAATATTCAAATTCAAAATGTTCCTTTTTTCTAATTACAGCTTTAGAGAACAAAAACCTAATGGTGAAGATGCAGATTTTTGAATTGTTGTCAGCCCTTTGTGTCTATTCTAAAGAAGGGTTTTATCTGACCCTAGACGCACTGGAAACTTATCGCGTATGTATGAAATCAATGGAAAAACAATGTACTCAAAAAGAGGCAAACAGTTTTAATTAACATACGCCTTGATGGAAGCTTGACTGAAGAAAAGAAAGCACCTGGCCCCGGGATCATGAAGCATCTTAAGCTAAAGTCAAATTTTTTCTGTTGTGCTAAAATGTTGTGGAAGCCAAATAGGCCAAAATCAAACTGTTTTCCAATACTATTTTACAAAAGTCGTGTTATTTGCAAAATTAGAGATTTATTCAATAAATAATAAATATTTGACAGAAGATTGAAATTTTGACTTAAGTCTAAGTTTGTTTCATGATCCTTGGTACTGATCTCACGTCCAACAATTTCGTTAATTGCACTAGAGAAAACTGAGTAATAATAAAATCCTAATTAATAAAACACTTAATAAGATACATTTTTACCATTAAATTCTACGTTTTAATAATCTAAAGATTGTTTAAATAATATTCACTCATAAATTCGCGCATTCTTTTCAAACACTACCTAGAAGATCTTCATTCGATCACGTGACTTCAATCTAGTATTACTTTTTTCTAGACATGGCGGAAGCTTCCATACCGTTTTAGTATTTTGGTCAATGAGCTTCGAACAGCAAACTTGGTGACGTACCGCACAACTATCATGGCGCTTATCAATGCCATAGTGGTTGCCAATGAAAACCTACAAGAAAGAGTCCGAATACGGAATGATTTTGTATGTACGTCACTGTTTTATTTCTAGCCATTACATTTTATCACTGTTTAAGACTTTTTTAAAAGGATACAGTAAAAAATAATAAATAAAAGAATGAAAACTTAACAGACAGACAGATTCAATATATACACATGTATATTCAAAGAATTAACGTAAAATCATGAAGTAAGATTTGAAAAAAATACCCATGCAAGGCAATTATCTTTTTCCTTACCTTTTTATAAACTTCATCTTTTGCCCCTCTCTTGCTTGATTTCATTCTTCACGATTCCATCAAGTTTTTTCTTAAATCTTGTTTTTATGATTTTTACATTAAAGATATCAATATTTTGGACACCATTGTGGTATTACGAGATGAGAATGATGCAGACTTGAATCTTCAATGTGACATTTTTGAGGAGGAGTTAAGTGCCGACTTGGAGGCAATGGAAGAGTTAAAACAAGCGGCTAATGTCGACATTGGTGATCCACAAGCTCTATTCAAAGCAATAAATTCACGTGTAAGTTGTAGGAAAAAGGTTTGAAGAGACTACCACCTACACTATATATTAATGAAAAATTATCAGCAAATTTCTAAAGTTAGTGTCATTTTTCATTGACTATTAATTTTCTGACGACCTATTTCTATTTTTAGGTAGAAAACTCACCGTTGTGTTCATCATTCCTCAGTGTTTTATACAATTTATTTCAAATAGACACTAGTCAACCTCGTAGGTAGGTTTGTTAACAATAATATTAATAATAGGTATTTTTTTCTCGTCAACATAGAAATAAAATGATTATAATCATTCTGATGTTTGGTTTCAATTCATTTAAAGTGAACAGATCTGGTGTTCAACAGAAAAACTCGTACAGCAAGTTCTTCAAGCAGACGACAATAGAGGGACAAAGTCTCCCGTAAGAAGAGGGTCTTCTGTACATTTAATCTCTACAATACACATAGAAAGCAAGGAACATAAAGGGACTCAAACAGAATGGGACACAACAACAGCTCCAAATCTCTCTAGAGGAGGTCTACTACGCGGAAAAAGTCTATCAACGGAAGCAAAACATACAATTTCTGACAGGCTGAAGCAAGCTACAGCACAATACAGGACAGTGCAGACATCATCCATAGACTCCATAGAATCTGGTGCAATTATCACGGCACCACCGCCACCTCCACCCCCACCTCCAGCCCCTGGGGCACCTGCCCCTCCTCCGGCACCACCGCCTCCACCTGGAGTGGGTGTACCGCCACCACCTCCCCCACCACCTGGTGTGGGCGCACCTCCACCACCACCACCTCCCCCTGGTGGTATCCCACCTCCTCCTGCACCACCTGGTATTGGAGGAGCACCTCCACCACCACCTCCTCCTGGTGGCATACCTTTACCACCTGGTGCTCCTCCAACATTAGGTGGTGCCATAAAAGTTGCTGAGCCTCTTCCACCACCTATAAGTACACCGGAGCCACATTGTAAACTCAAACACATTATGTGGAATAAAATACCAAACGCTGCATTCAAAAGTAAGTTCAAAGGATTGATAAGATTTCTATCTGAAATTAAATACACTGACATTGAATTTATACATATTTCTTATACTAGTATTTATAAAAAACATCATAACAGACATAACACTACATTTGAAAATATATATGCTCACCGAAAGTTGCTAAATCATAATGATTTTTTTTATGTCCGACAGAGGAAAGTATTTGGGGTGACGTGCTGAAAATGAAAGACAAAATAAAAGTTGATTATGAGGAACTGGAAAGATTGTTCGCCAACAAAGAAGTAGCACCTATGAGATCAGAGTTGCAAGTGGATCAGAAAAAGTCACTTGTAAAGCGACTGTCTTCTTCAAATGAAGTAAGTTGAATCTTCCCTAAAAGTTTCTATTTAGGACAATAAATTATGTACGTTGTTTATTAGTACGGTTTTTAAAATGAAGACAAAAGATTAGATGAAATAAAAATAAATTATCATCTGTCTTTCCAGGTTTCGCTTTTGGATCCAAAGAAAAGTATGAATGTCAACATCTTCCTAAAACAATTCAGGAAATCTATAGAAGTTATCATTGAATTACTTAAATCTGGAGATCCAAGAGCTTTTGGAGTCGAAAAGTTGAAACAACTTGCGAAAGTTCTTCCCCAGACGGATGAGGTTATAAAAATCATAAATTTAATATAATATAGGCGTGGTATCTTTGATATATTTAATTAAAAGTTCAATGAAGCAAAATGAATATAAATGCCCTTCTTCCTTAAAAACAGATTGAGTTGGTTCAACACTACGACGGAGACTTAGAAAAACTGGGAGAAGCTGAGAAATTTTACTATTACCTGATACAAATTTCAAATTTTAATTTTCGAATTGAGGCCATGATTCTTAAGGGCGACTTCAATGCACAGCTAGGAGCCATAAGGCCTAACTTTCAGGTTCTTCATACAATAAGCCGACGACTGTTTGATAACCATGCACTTAAGACCTTCCTCAGATACGTTTTACACACTGGGAATTTTTTAAACAAGGTAATTTGTAATTCTAATGTACATTTATATACTTTATAAACTCTGGTCTTTTTATCTTAGGAAATGTTAAGGTCAAATGATCACTAAGTCAGTATATTAAAAATATTATAAAAAGTGCACATACTTATCTTTTTCGGTTCAACCAGAAAAGTGCTCCTTTATATCATCACAACGACTTTGAAATATCTCTTAATCAAAAAGTAAAAAAGAAATGTATGAGGCGCCGTTTTGGTATTTACTGGCAAAAAAGTGATATCACCTATTTGAATATAAAATATCATTTTTTTCGAATAGGTGATATCACCTATTCGAATTGTTGATATCACCTATTTATTTCCAATTGGTGATATCACCTATTCGAATAGGTGAAATCACTTTATTGAATAGGTGATATCACATACTGGTATTCGAATTGGTGATATCACCTTTTTGAATTTCTTACAATATTAAATAATGAATACTCCCTATATAAGTTATAGATTACCACTGGAAGCAAAAAAAATCGAGCTACCTAGTTTTCATGTGTTTTTCCTGATTTTCCTTATAGAATACATGAAAGATAAGAGAAATAAATTAATTTGTGAGCAAAACAAACTCTACAATTTCTATTGGGGCTGCTTAAAATTAAATGCAACACTGTAATCCATTGTCTTCTAGAATGATGAGTTATAAAACGAAAGTGAAAGTAAGATATAGGGACCTATAGTCTTGGGAGCCGTTGTTATGACCTATAGTCTTGGGAGCCGTTGTTATTTCATAAATAATTTGAGTAGGTGATATCCCCTATTCGAATTGGTGATATCGCCTATTTAAATGAATAGGTGATATCACTTATTCGAATAAGTGATATCACCTATTTGAATAAGTGTTATCACCTTTTCGAATAGGTGATATCAGTTTTTGGCAGTAAATACCAAAAACGGCGCCTTATAAAAACGTTTAGAAATAAAGTATCGTCTTTTTATGTTAGGGAAGTGGTTCTGGTAATGCACTTGCTATTCGAGTAAGTTCTCTTGAGAAGCTAATCAACACCAAATCCAGTTCCTCCAAGAGAACTCTCCTTCACTATCTGGTGGAAACTGCAGAGGAAAAGGACCCAGAAGCTCTCAGCTTTGTCGATACCTTACTGGAACCTCTGCAAAAAGCGGCAAGGTTGATATTCTTAATTAATTTAATATAAATGAAATAAAAATCAAAACAAGTAGCTAGTATTGATGACCATTAATGCCGTATTTTTCTTTCCTTTGAAAAGAAATATATTCCAATAAATGATGGTATTTTGTGCCAAAATGATAAAATACAATTCATGGGGGAACGTGAGTAATGCTGAATGTATTACATTTACATTGAAGGTTTACAATGGAGGGAATCACAGCTGAATTTAACCAGCTGAAGAAACTGGTCCATAGACTTAAAAGAGAATGTGAACATGTAGAAGACGATGTAAAGGCACAATTTAGCGAATTTTTAGAGGTAAGCTGTTTTCAAAAACATTTTCATTACAAAATGGACATTGTTTACTTTTGTTCAAAACATGTAAAGCCCATTTTTATTATACAGGAAGCCGATGCGGATCTAGAGGAGACTGAAGACGTCATAGAGAGGATACGTAAGCAGTCCTGTCGTCTGGCACAGCACTTCTGTGAGAATGAGAAAACCTTCAACTTGGATGAATTTCTAAGCACCTTCAGACAATTTTGTGAAAAAATCAAAGCATGCCAGCAGGTATTCTGTAATTCAAGGTCAAACTTCTCTGATAATTACACTTATATAATATCATGTTTATATTTATATAGCAGAAAGAGAGTAAAACACTTTTAACAAATTTAGGTTAAACTTCTCTGATAATTACATTCGTATGATATGTTAATGTCTATATAGCAGAAAGAGTAAAACACTTTAAACAAAATGAGGTTGTGGATTATTTACAGGAATTGGAATCTCAACGTCAACAAGAAGAGTCGGCGGAAAGACGGAGACGAGCGCAAGAGGGAACGTCCGATAGACGCAAAGGTTTGTGCTCATATTACGAAAATAGTCCAATTTATACTTCCATGGTACTTTTAATTTTTTAAATGTTGGAGCTACCTTAAATTGTGCTACTTACCATGTATTGTTCCTGTTTTTGGTCTTACCATATATGTAAATATTTTATAGTCTCCTTTAATGCCTCTGCTAAAGCAGAAGACAGGAAGATTGTGGATAACATTGTGGATGAGATACGCCGTGGTAAGGTGTTACGGAGACTGTCTCTCAGGAAGAAGACGTCTAATAACGTCACAGGAAGGGTGGGTGGACTGTGAGCTGTGGTATCAAAAAATAGACGGAATGTGATGCGACAGAAGGAGAAGAAAATGGGGAGTACATGAAGACATTATCAATTTCTGGACCAGAGAGAGGGAAAGAATAAAAGAGAAAGAGGGACTACATTTTCGCGCTTGTGTTTTTCCGTGTATATATTTCTGTTTCGATTTCCATTTAATTTGGAAATTTAATGCTGAATAAAAAATAAATAAAATCTTACACTTTATTGATTATAAATCTTTTGACAAGTATTTTATCGCTTAAAATAAACATACTTTCCAGATAAGATAAAAAAGAATCAAAATGCTTGATAAAGACAAGATGTGTTTGTGAATCTCCGAAACCCTGGGTTGCAACTCAGAGTTAAGTCAAACTTCAAGGCCAAGAGATTAAAAATTATGGTACCTTGAAAAGGTATTTTCAATATACAATGTAAATATGAATACTCAGTACTAACTGTTAAAAAGTTATGACCAAGGTAAAAGTTTTTTTCTCCTAAAGTACATATAGGCCAACCTCCAGAGTCAAACGGTCAAAATAAAATGAACCTAAAATGGATTTGCTACAAGAAATATACATGTGAATTATGAAAGCCATTTAAAAGTAATACCAAATATGTGTTTTTTTAAAAGAAGGTCAAATTCCAAGGAAAGCAAAGTATACACTAAGACATTGAGACTTCTGACACCAATCAATTAATTCATTCAAAATATAGGTAAACTTTATCAATAATAGGTCACACTCCGAGGTCAAGAGGTTATATAGAAGGGACTTTTAACAAGGAACTTGTGGAACATCATACCCTTAGCTCCAAGGAATCAAAATTTATGAGGAAGGTTAAAGTTTTGCAGATAAACAGACAGAAAAACGAACGAATATAGCAAAACCATATCTCCCCGAATACAGTAATTGATTACTGGAGCATAAAAAGCAAGTTTTTCTACTACGTAATAGACTTAAAGCTTATTGGAGACTTGATGAAAGGTACCTGCTAGCATGTTATTTTATTAAACAGAATATTAAAGCTACCCGTACTTGGAAACTATTTAATTCACAATTACCTTTCTTATGTGTTATGTTAATTAATGAGTATTAAGAGGTGAAAGATATTTGGAGACAATTTAAGCTCATACCTGACATATTTGTTGTAGTTGCTGTTGTTGAGAATTATGCATTCTCAATATCCTAGAAAATAAATGAAAAACTGAGGTATATTTGTTGTTTAATTAAAGAGTCATGGCCTGAGATCATTAAAAATGAAAAGCTGAAGTCAAAATCTTTATCTTTTACCGAAATGTTGTAGAAGTCAAATGATCCAAAATGAATAATAATATGTTATATATCTAATTTTACACCAACAGTGTAATGCTATTTGCATGTTTTATTGACAATTAAAACATCTGACAGGTGATTGATAGTTTGACTGAAGTCTCAGTCTACTACATGATATTGGGGCCTAGTCTCAGAATCATGAAACAGAATTGAACTTGAGTTAAAATTTCAAATATCTATAAAGTATTTAAATCTAGTTTTAGAAATAAAACTCTTAATATGAGCATATCAGCAGACTGCTGATGCAAAATTGAAAATTTTTTTTGGATTGCTTAACTTCTACCTAATTTCAGAGCCACATACTGTATATTTTTTGACTACCAGGTAAGGCTTAACATGCTTTATGGCCTCAGGGCCAGATTCTTAGAATCAAATAAATTCTTTTTACCCTGTAAGTCAAACGGGGTTCGAAAAACGATGTTTGTTTTTTCTACACCTCCTGGTTCCCAAATTCTCTTTAACATTTTAGGAGTAGGCAACTCATATACTTGTACTTAGAAAGTTGATTAATGGTGTCCTGTAGATGTGAAATAAGGATATTGGAATTTCATTTTCAACCCAGTGGCCAAATGTATGTTGAAAAACAATGTTTTGTTTTACAAAGGAGAAAAAAAACTTATTTCTTGAATTTTTCTCAAAATATTTTTTAAATTGTTCTTTGAAAAGAATTTACATCGTAAATTCCATAGTGTCACACTAGTAATAAACTAAACAAATGAAAAACCAACATAAAAGTCTATGGGACATCTGTGAATCTGAACAATAAATTTGTTTAATGTCTTGACATTTACATGTAGATATTTTGAAAAAATTCTAGATTTTTTCATCTCAATTTTGAAAGAGTGTAGATTTAGAGACACATAAGTGCAGTCTTACGACAGCAAAATAGTTGAATGTGTCGTTGGATGTTGAGTTATGTATACATTTCAATGTATTTATCTTGTGGTAGACATTTACCCCAATGATATGTGGAATTCTGTCTACAAAACTACTAAATTGAAATCTGTGACTTTATGGTGACAGGCGGATCCAAGATTTTTGCTTACTTATTTTTGGTCACTTTCTGCCTTTCTCTGAGTGTATACTTTACACAAAGTATTCGACCAAGTGACTAAGGTAAGAGTTTTGCTTACAAAATCATCTGTCGTGACCAAATATTTGCATAATTTAACCTTATGTCAAAAAAAGTAAACATACAACGATATATTTCTCTTAAACAAAACTGGTTGCTTGAAATGCGATCCATGAAATAGTGTAAAAGTTAGTACAAAACCGGGAGCAATCGAACAATTTCATATACCGGTATAAAGACATCCCTGATTTTTGACTGTCATGCAATTTCCTATTTAACAAGAGGTACCGCTAAGTGTTTTTAAATTTATGACAAAAACATGCATGTTTCAGTCTGCTTTCAAACCAAGCCAATATTGTGCGTTAGTAATGAATGAATTATTATTGTTAGATAACATAATAAGAAATTTCTGAGCAGAATAAATTTTAGATGATTGATTTTTACATATAATATTAAAAGGAAATTTACCCGAACATTTCAAGTATAAAAAAGTAAAAAAAGTACTATTTTCTGTTTTTGAAATTAAGTAATGTAATTCGTATTTTACAAAAAACAACTGCTTACAACAGTCCTATCCTGCACAATCGTTTTAAAATTAAAACATGAAAATCGAAGAATATTTGAGTTTTTATTAATCCCAATATAAATAAATTAATTAATATTAATTTATATAGGATTTCATAGATGAATTATGAAATAAACATTTATGTTGCTTTTTTTTTCAATTACGCTGTCATTATGAAAATAAGTTATTATTTATATAAAATACAAAATAATAACCTTTATGTGACATGTATTATTCATATCCAATATCTGTCATTTTATTGATTGCGTTATGTGACAAGTTTTAATTATGCATGTACCTAGTTCTGTGTAACCCGGCTACGTGCAGGTACCTAACTTTACCCAAACCACAGTTTGGAAATTTTTAGCCAATCAGCGTGGCTCATCATCTTGTGTGATCATTTTGATTCATTTTATCGAAAGGAGAAGCCACGCAAAAATTTTAAAGAAAATTACCCTCCATCCAACCCCAGAACTACCTCCCCAGTTTTCAATTATTTTCACCTGCCTGGTCTGTATTTTTTAGATAACCCACCTTTTTTGTGGACATGCAGGCAGGTTGTGTTTTGTACCAGAAGGATAAAACGTACGCTGAACTAGGACCTTAGGTCCCCTGCTCAATTCACGACTATCGGTCCTGTTTACTCCGCTACAAAATGTAGTGCGTTGCATACGTAAAGTGAAAATAGAATAAATCGTAATACTGTGAAGCCTTTACAGTGTAAAACAAACAACTTTTTAAAAGGAATAACCATCTGATGGGTATTAGAAAAGATAGAGGGGGTGGAGGGTGGGTGCTGAGCAACATTAACTGCAATTTTATACGATATATGATATATAAGCGTTTAACATTTATGGTTTACGTTAGGTGACCTGTGGTCTCACCTATGATTTTATTCCATGTAAGGTTATGGTATCTAAATAACACAGTGACTAACCTCTGATCTTCTTACTAATAGTATGCGACTCAGAGTAAACGACGTCAAGTCTCTGAATTCGCAGATCTCTTAAGATCTTTTCCCTTACCACCCCCTACCTCTTAATTTCGCTCGGACTTTTCACCGATCCTTCAACATAATGGAATAATTATTTGTTAAATTATTTAATGTCTCCTTCTTCTTCCTTATGAGATCATGATTAAATGGGCGACCTCATCACTTTAACATTTTTAAGTAAACATCTGATTTTATTTATTTTACAAAGAAGATATACCCCCTGTATTTCGAAGTTTTGGGCTGCATCGAGTTCTCATCCCCTTTCCCTGGAATTCACACATCAAATTCATGAACTACATTAAAAAAAAAGAAATAAAAATTTAAAATGTACCAATTGTTATTTCTTTTAGGGATACATGTACTGTATTTAAAGACAAGCAAGTTGACCAATCCTCCAAATTCCAATTACATAGATTTAGAGAACTCGGAGAAATTGTGCACTTTTTTCCAATTTTCAAAAAATTAGTGTCGCAACTGTTTTTTGGAGAGGATTTAAAACATAATTCTACACATACCCTGATTTTAAATTATTTGAATTTATTTATTTAAATGATTTTAAACTACTTACAACTTTCAGCCACATCGTAACAATGTACAACATAAGATTACCTTTGTCTCATTCATATACTATAATTTGTGAAGTATGAAATCCTTATTGATGTACAATATAAGACTTCCGCTTGTTCCCATAATCTTTATGCTGACACCAGAGGTAACAAAGAGTTAATAAGACCAGGTGTCATCTTCTGTTCTACATCATATGGGGATACAGAGGCCACCTTATATTGTACATCAGTAGGCGGACCAGAGGACGATTTAAATTGTACATCAGTAGGGGGACCAGAGGACACCTAATATTGTACATCAGTAGGGGACCAGTGTGTCACATTATATAATACATCATTAGGTTGACCAGAAGTCACCTTATACTGTACATCAGAAGGGAACATCAGTAGGGGGACCAGAGGTCACCTTATACTCTACATCAGTAGGGGACCAGAGGGCACCTTATACTGTTCATCAGTAGGGGGACCAGAGGTCACCTTTAATTCTACATATGTAGGGGGACCAGAAGACACCTTATATTGTACATCAGTAGGGGACAACAGTAAGGGGACCAGAGAACACCTTATATTGTACATCAGTTGGGGGATCAGAGGTCACCTTATATTGTACATCAGTTGGGGGACCAGAGTCAACCTTATATTGTACATTAGCTATAGTAGGGGGACCAGAGGTCACCTTATATTGTACATCAGTAGGGGGACCAGAGGTCACCTTATATTGTATATCAATAGGGGACATCAGTAGAGGAGCAGATGTCACCTTTAATTCTACATATGTAGGGGGACCAGAAGACACCTTATATTGTACATCAATAGGGGACAACAGTAAGGGGACCAGAGAACACCTTATATTGTACATCAGTAGGGGGACCAGAGGTCACCTTATATTGTACATCAATAGGGGGACCAGGAGTCACCTTATATTGAACATCAGTTGGGGGACCAGAGATCACCTTATATTGTACATCAGTAGGGGGACCAAAGGTCACCTTATATTGTACATCAGTAGGGGACATCAGTAGGGGGAGAGGAGGTCACCTTATATTGTACATAAGTAGGGGGAGCAGAGGTCACCTTATATTGTACATCAGTAGGGGGACCAGAGGACACCTTAAATTGTACATCAGTAGTGGGACCAGAGGACACCTTATAATGTACATCAGTAGGAGGACCAGAGGACACCTATTATTGTACGTTAGTAGGGGGACCAGTGTGTCACCTTATATAAAACATCATTAAGTTGACCAGAAGTCACCTTATACTGTACATCAGAAGGGGACATCAGAAGGGGGACCAGAGGTCACCTTATATTGTACATCAGTAGGGGGACCAGAGGGCACCTTATATTATACACCATAAGTTTACCAGAGGTCACCCTATATTGTACATCAGTAGGGACCAGAGGACATCGGTAGGGGGATCAGAGGTAACCTTATATTGAACATCAGTAGGGGGACCAGAGGTCATCTTAAATTGTACATCAGTGAGGGGACCAGGGGTCACCTTATATTGTACATCAGTAGGGGGACCAGAGGTCATCTTATATTGTACCTGCACTTAAGTAGGGGTCCAGAGGACACCTTACATTGTACATCAGTAGGGGACCAGAGGTAACCGTGTAGAGTACATTAGTTGGGGGACAAGAGGTCCCCTTTTATTGTACATCAGTAGGTGGAGCAGAGTTCACCCTATGATATACATCAGTAGGGGGAGCAGAGGTCACCTTACATTGTACATAATTAGTGGGACCAGAGGTCATCTTATATTGCACATCAGTAGGGGAACCAGGGCACCTTACATTGCACATTTCATCAGTAGGCGAACTAGAGATTATCTTATATTGTACATCAGTAGGGGGACCAGTGTGTCACCTTATATTGTACATCAGTAGGGGGACCAAAGGACACCTAATATTGCACTTTACATCAGAAGGTGAACAAGAGGTTATCTTATACTAGTATTATACATCAGTAGGGGGACCAGTGGTCATCTTGTATTGTACATCAGTAGTGGGACCATGAGTCACCTTAACTTGTACATCAGTAGGGAGACCAGGGGTCACCTTATAATGTACGGCAGTAGGGAGACTCGAGGTCACCTTATATTGTACATCAGTTGGGGAACTAGAGGTCACCTTATATTGTACATCAGTTTGGGGACAGTTTCAGGTCAGTTTTAACGTTCTTCACTAGGTGGATCAGAGGTTAACTAATATTGTACATGTACATCAATAGGTTGACCAAAGGTCACCTTATATTTTATTTCATTGTGGAGACTAAAGATCACCTTTAAATTGTATAACAGAAAGGGGACCAGAGGTCACCTTATACTGTTTCAGACTAGACGTCAGATTATATTGTACATCATAAGGGGAAACAGAGGTTACCTTCTACATCATAAGGTGGTCAGAGGTCACCCTATGTTGTAGATCATTATGGGGACCTAAGGGCACTTTATATTTTACAACACAAGGGAAGCCAGATGTCACCTTATAATGTACATAAATAGGGACACCAGTGGTTCCCATTTTGTATATGTTTAAGGAAACCTGACATAAAATATAATTTATATGAATGCGGACCCATCGTAACCAAGAGACATCTCAAAAGAACATAAGGATGGATCAGAGATTAGAGATAAAATGCATATTAACGGGATACCATGCAAATGTTCTTTTATAAGAACACGACAAGAGGCCTATGGATCTTATAGGTCATCTGAAGATCATGTAAAAACTTTAAACCGATTGAATTTGGTTTGCGCTTTGAACCAGTGGCCATGACATTCGCAATTTTGAAAAAAAGTACCATTGCGCATCATAACTATGTACTTAGCATACTTATATTGGCTACATAATACCTATATAGAGCGTAGGGGAACAAAAAAGTGCATTTCAAATAATCAGTAATAATTATCAATAATAAGTAGTGCCCACTGACCATAAAAACCCTCATTTTGGGGTCCTACATTTCACAATTTTGGAAAAGGCACCCTTGTTTAAAAAAAATTTGGTTTATACCAAAGAATAAATTTTAAAGCATTAATTCAATTACAGTATTTAATTAGAGCCCCCATCCCTCCATGGTACCCATGAGCCAGGGACCTTGAAATTTATAATTATTTACTTATATTTATGATTATATCAGGTGATCTCTGGTCCCCGTAATGATGTACGATATAAGGTAACCTCTGGTCTCTGTGATGATATGTTATATAAAATTTACTGTGGTCCATCATTGATTACCTCTGGTCCTCCAATAATGTACAATGTAAGGTGACCTCTGGTCCAAATAATGATGTACAAATTATGGTGACCTCTGGTCTCAAGAATGATGTACAAATTAAGGTGACCTCTGGTCCCCATAATGATGTACAGTATGAGGTGACCTCTATAGACCTTTTAATGATGTACAATTTAAGGTGACATCTGGTCCCTGTAATGATGTACAGTTTATGGTGACCTCTGGTCCCTGTAATGATATATAAAATAAGGTGACCTCTGGTCACCATAATGATCTGCAATATAAGGTTACCTCTGATCCATGTAAATATGTACAATATACCAGGTGATCTCTAGTCCCGGTAATTATGTACACTATATCAGGTGATCTATGGCCCCAGTAATGATGTACGATATAAGGTGACCTCTGGTCTCCGTAATGATATGTTATATAAAATTTACTGTGGTCCATCACTGATTACCTCTGGTCCTCCAATAAATGTACAATGTAAGGTGACCTCTAGTCCCCATAATGATGTACAATTTTAGGAGAACTCTGGTCACTATAATGATGTGCAATATAAGGTGACCTCTGATCCACGTTATGGTATACAAAATAAGGTGAACTCTTGTCCTTGAAATGACTATATAAGTTGACCTCTGGTCCCCATAATAATGTTTAATATAAGGTGACTTCTAGTCCCCGTATTGATGTACAATAAAAGGTGACCTCTGGTTCCCGTAATGATGTAATATATACTGTGACCACTGGTCCCCAGAATGATGTACAATTGGGGTAACTTCTGGTCCCCGTAATGATGTACAAAATAAGGTGACCTCTGGTCCCCGAAATGACTATCTAAGGTGACCTCTGATACTTATAAAAATGTTTAATACAAGGTGACCTCTAGTCCCCGTATTGGTGTACAATATAAGGTGACCTTTAGTCCCCGTATTGGTGTACAATATAAGGTGACCTCTGGTCCCCCTTACTGATGTTAGATATAAGGTGACCTCTGGTCCCCCTTACTGATGAACAATATAAGGTAGCCGCTGGTCCCCCTACTGATGTACAGTACAATATTAGGTTACCTGTAGTCCCCCTACTGATGTACAATATAGGGTGACCTCTGGTCCCCCAAATGATGTTAAATATAAGGTGGCCTCTGGTCCCCCTACAGATGAACAATGTAAGATGATCTTTGGTCTCCCGATTGATGTACAATATGAGGTTACCTCTGGTCACCCTTTATTACTTTCACGTTTCTGCTAATATATATATTAGAAAGTTGAACTTTATAAAGTTATAAATATGATTTTTTTTGGAGTAAGACAGAGAAAATTGTCTATCATATAAAATTCAATTAATAGATAAGGTGACCCGAGGTCTCCGTATTGATATCGATGAATTTACTTTTGTGCCTTTAATGCCTGGAGAGTTCCTAGAGTGTTTTATTACTACGCAAAATGACGAACTATTTGCGGGGGACCCCAGGTCCTAGTTGAGCGTACGTTTTATCCTTCTGCTGTTTTGTAGGGTTTTGAGAAGTTTATTTTCATGTAATTTTAGGTTATGTTTGTTGGGGGTCAGATTGCATAATACTTATTGAAGATAAAGCTTTGTTTGTCAATTTTTCTAATCCTTTCTGACCCCCATTATTTGTACAAGTTTCATATTCGTCATTTTATGAATAAATGACATTTTTTCAATTCATACTGTGTTACTGGTTCTGCCTGTCTGGTCAAAAAACAAGCTTAGTCAACTTGGCAAGATATTTATTAAACCAACGGAACATAAATATAGATGTACTTATATGCCTATGTAATTCAGTATTGGCTTTCCATATTTGTAGTTGAAGTGTTGATTATGAAAACTTCGGAAGATAAATTACGTGCACTTATTTTTAGTTACTAACTTGTTTAAACAGAAATTAAGTGTCTGGAGATTTTAAAGTTCTCTTTTATATAATTTATTGTACTGTCAGTGTTGTGGACCAGAAATTAGAAAACACTATAGTTTTTATTTCAATAATACGCGTGCGCTTTGAGGAGTCATTTCAAAATCATATGTGAAACCAAAACTAGTCAACATTTTCTCACAATGAAGACACTGAATGCAGATGTTGTTGACTCAAAGGCGATCTTCAATGTATTACACTCACGGGTAAGTTTAAAAAAAAACAAAGCAGAGATTTAATCAATTCATGTAGAAACTTCTAATTTTGAAAGAAAAAACCTGAGATATTTATCAAACAAAATATTTTGGGTATTTTTATCTGTACATAAAGCAACTTATAAGAATATTAATTTTTTCTCAATGAATTTTTCTTTTCCATTTTGCAGGTAGAAAATTCACCAATTTATCCTACTTTTAAACGTGTTTTGTACAACCTATGTCTGATACAGACTAGTCAGTCTGACAGGTAAATGTTATCATACCTTCATATACACCTGTTCATATTACTTTTCGTACATTTTAACAACATAATTTGTTTGGTTTTAAAGTGGCCAAATTTGGTACTCCATAGAAAAAATTGTACAGGAAGTTACAAAAGCAGAATGCAATGAAGATCCACAATCTCTTGTTGGAGAAACCCACCCACTTCCTATCCATACTCTGGAGAGCAAGGAGACTCAGACAAGTTGGGATACCACCACCTCTCCAAATCTTTGTAGTGAAGGCGATGAAAATACACTGAGGGATGCACTGAATGAAAACTCGGAATCTGGTGGCGTAATGACAGAACAAACTCCAGCACCCCCTCTGCCACCTCCACCCCCTCCACCTTCTGCGCCACCTTGTGTCCCTGAAACGCGTCTTGCACCTCCAATACCTATACCAGAACCAAAGTGCAAACTTAAACACATTATGTGGAATAAAATAGCAAACGTTCCTTCCGAAAGTAAGTACTTGGTTTTCATTCCAATGCGTTTTACCTTTTATTAGTATAAGTGTTTTCTATATGAGCATGATAACCTAGTCATGTTTAAACCAATATTTAGGCGATCAGAAAGGTTTTGGCGGCGACTTAAAAGTTTTGTAAGTCGCTCGATTGCTACGTTACTAATGAACCTCGATCGCTAATTTCGACAAAAATATTAGATCAAAAAGATCAGAATGAGTCAGAATGATGCGCTGACGGCTTTCAGACATACCCTCTGAAAATGCCATTATAGTCATAAACCAATGATCGAGGCATTTAAGGTTTGCCATTTTACCTAAATACTTTATCAATGGTCATTGGGCAGAAAAAAAAACATCGATCCGCATGATCTAATAGTATACAATGTTGCCGAGGTTCGTTGCAGTCCTGAAAGAGGAAATGGT